GCCGCCGCATCTCTCGGTGCCGCCCCGGCCCTGGAGCTATCCGCGCCAAGGTAAGGACTCACTTCAACTGGGTGACGGAAGCCAGCAGGGGTGGGCGGGGCCTCGGCAAGGGGTGGGCTCACAGCCGGGGAGCACGTGGCTTCGCTCACAGCTCCTGAGAAACTGGGACGGGGGAATGGGCTGAGGCTGGCACCTGGTCAGGGCCTGGACCAGAGGCTGGGGAGTGGCCTCACCCCCTCGGACCGCTTCCCATTCTGCAGCGGAATCGGACATGTCCAAGCCACCATGTTATGAAGAGGCGGTGCTGATGGCAGAGCCCCCGCCGCCCTACAGCGAGGTGCTCACGGACACGCGCGGCCTCTACCGCAAGATCGTTACGCCCTTTCTGAGCCGCCGCGATAGCGCGGAGAAACAGGAACAGCCGCCGCCCAGCTACAAGCCGCTCTTCCTGGACCGGGGCTACACCTCTGCGCTACACCTGCCCAGCGCCCCGCGGCCCGCAGCGCCCTGCCCCGCCCTCTGTCTGCAGGCCGACCGTAGCCGCCGGGTCTTCCCCAGCTGGACCGACTCAGAGCTCAGTAGCCGCGAGCCCCTGGAGCACGGAGCTTGGCGCCTGCCGGTTTCCATCCCCTTGTTCGGGAGGACTACAGCCGTATAGAGGGACGCCCGGCGTCCTGGGCCCCACCGGCAAACTCCTGGCCTGACTCTGGGGCTTTTTAAATGCTTCCCTTGGACTACGGGGGAGGAGGGAGGGAGGGATTTCTTACCCCGTTTGTTACATTTTGAGGATAATAAAGGTGTGTGATCTGCTTTGGTACGAGCGGAGGGGACAACCGCTGCTTTTGCTCAAGGTTCTGGTGACCAGGCATGCTGCAGCCACAACTGGAAGGAACGCGAATGGGCGTTTCTGCCACAAGCTGTCCTGAGTGCACAGAACTGAACCTCAGATCAGTGTTTGGAAATTTGAGGCTAGTTCCTCAGAAGGCCTCAGGATCCCCTAGCTTGCCTTTGAGATCACGGTTAAGGCAACCTTTAGGATCTGGGAATGGGGGTCAGGGCAGACAGGCAGCCCTGCCAGATCAGCCCCTGGAGGCCCAGAGCAATAGGCCCAAAGGGATCTGGATTTCTTTATTAACAGACATAAGCACGACCCGTTACAGAAGTTTGTGCTTTCCAAAAAAACAAGTTACTGAACGTGAAAAAGGAACCCAAGCAAAGAGGAAGGAATTGGGAAAAGACCACCCAAACCCCTGGGTTCCATCTATAGCCCTGACCTGAATCACGCCTAGGGCCTCCAGCCTGGGACCTGCCCGGCAGGAGAGGGCGGGGAAGCCCAAGGGTCCCAGCTGGGCCTGCTACTTCCTTCTGGCCAGGCAGGGAGGGGTCAAGAGAAGGGCGGGGAGGGGTCCCAGGGAACCAGAGCCCACGAGCCATTTATTGCCATGTTTTAAAATTCGTGCAAAATATCTGAAGCCCTGGACAGAGAATACAAAGTGATATTTTTCCAAGAAACATAAAACTAGGAAAAGAGGCAGGGGCACATTTTCTCACCAGAGCTTCCCCCACACCAGGCCCCAAACACGGTGAGGCCTCTACCCTGGCCAGCTGAGCGGGGAGGACTAAGCTACAATCTGGACCAGGTTAGGGGTGGGGTGGGGTTTGCAACAGCGTCTCAACTACCAACGAGGAAAACCAGTCAACTGTACAAGTCTCCTATCAATTAAAAAAAAAAAAAAAAAAAAAAAAGAAAGAAAGAAAAGCTGTAAAAGTCAGGCCCTGTGGGTAGGGAAGCGGAAAAGTCCCCGGCCAGAGCCTGAATCCAGAGTGGGTGCCAGGCAGAGCTGCTGCATATGCAGGCGCTGTGGGCCATCTGACCAGAGGCCGGTGCAGGTGGGCAGCCTTGGGGAGGGCAGCCAGATGGCAGGAGCCACTACTAATCACCACCCTCGAAGCCTTCCTCCTCTTCCGGTACTGGGTCTGCATCCCAGCAGGTGATGTCAATTTCTACAGTGTTGGGAGGAAAGAGAAGTTAAGGAGATGGCCCAGCAGATAATTCTGTCCCCCAACCTCTGGGAACTGTAGCAGCAGTGTGTTGGAGATGCTGCTGATCTACACTCAAACTATGCATCCTCACCCCAATTCCTCCTCCTCCATCCCAGTACTACCTGGAGGCTTGTTGTAGAACACAGGAGGTGGTGCCTTTGCACATAGCTCTTCTGATTGAGCAAACTCCTCTTCCTGTGATTGACTGAAGTACCCTTCGCTGGCCTGCAGGGGAAAGCCACAGGTCACTAGGCCCCACCCACCAGGGCTAGGCTGACCTATCAGATTGGATCCTGTTTCCCCAGCAACAAATGATTCCATCAGTGGTTGCCAGGGAAACAAAATTGCCTACTTGGAAATAAAAGCAGTTATACCACAGAGGGAGAGTGGAATGGAGCTTCCCCCCAATAATAAGGCTCACAGTTGCTACAGCAAGCAGTGTTTCCCCCTGCTGGAACCCAAACTGCTACCCCTCACATCAACCTGCCCTTGCCCCACCTGGGTCCCCTCCTTCTGGGTGGTCTCGCCATTGGTCAGTAGTAGGTGGGGTTCCTGCTCCAGCTCTTGCTCTGGTTCAGGCTCTGCCTCCCGATCCACCTCCTCTAGAGAAGAGGGCAAAGTTGGAGCCTGGGGGGCAACCAGGGGCTCTCCTACTTCCTCCTCTGGGTCACAAAAGGTAGCTGGGGGCTCAGGCAGCTCATCAAAATTGAGGAGGTTGGCACAGCCTTCACCCACTGGCAACAGTGGCTCTTGAACCACGTCATCAAGCAGGGGCACCTCTGCCAGAGTGGCCTCAGCACCCAAAGGTGATGTGGGGCCCCTGGGCTCTGCCTGGGGTGCTGAGACCCCTTCCCCATTGCCAGGCCATAGGTCAACAAGGCTGGCAGTGGCAGGGGTGATATTGTTGGCAATAGTGGTGTCAGTGGCGGTTTCAATGGTGTCAGCTGTGTGGGTGTCAGCTTCTGAGAGGTTGGCCACAGTGATATCAGTTGTGGCAGGCTCTACAGGGGCAGCAAGGTCAGCCTTCCCTGGAGACTCCATGAACATCAAGTCCTCCACCATGCTGCCCTGCCCCTGGGGAGGCTCCTGTGCCTGAGAAGCCTCCACCATGGGACCAGCCCAGGCCTGAAGGTCTGCTGCTCTGGCCTCCTTGCAAGTCTCTTCAGTGTCCAGGCTGGGGCTTGGCTCCTTGGTCTCTGTCACAGCACAGATGGAAGAGACAGATGCAGTCAGCCCTCTTGGGGAAGGAAGAAGACCCTCTCTATAATACTTTGCCCATCTCCTAAGGAGTAAAGGAGTCAGGGACAGCTGGGAAAATACACTTCCACTAAAACTCCCACAGGGCACCTTTCGGCACTACCTGCACCTCAATATCCCTCTGCCTTGTATTTTTAAACCATTCCGCAGACCAGGGAGAAAGGCCTGACCTCCACTAAAGACACAAGATTCTGAAGTTTACAGAGGGCAGGTCTGACTGTAACACCAGGGCTCCTCCCTGCCACAGCCACTTCCAAGACGTTGCAGTCTTGGTGACAGGTAAGTTGCTCTTATGGCAGGCTGGGGTTCCTGATGTGAGCTCAGTGTGTGTGGAGCTCCTCTCTCACCTGGGGCTGGTGGGGGTGGTGGTGGCAGTGGTGGAGGCTGTGAGGATGTGACCTCATCCAGGGCCCGCTCAATCTGCTCAGTGATAGGGGTAGAGGCTGTGCTAGAGTCAGATGGGCTCCGGGCAGGAATGGGGGTAGGTGCCATCCTCCGGTGGCTGTCCAGGTGGCTGCCTGTGGAATAAACCCCCAGGTTGGTTAGTGAAGGTGGGGAGCCAGGAGGGACCAGGATTGTCCACCTTGGGGCCTGGCCAGCATCTCGTCTCTGGACTCTGGGTGGGGGCTGTGAGCTCCCCAGGCCCCTCGGGGGCCAGACCACAGCTCCAGACCCTGTAAACCAGGCCCCTGGGGGCCAATGCCAGGGGCAACAGGCAGGCAGTACCTGCTCTGGGGACAAACACCAGAGATCAGCAGTCAGGCTGGGGAATGAGGGCGAGGGGGCTGCCAGGAAGCGGGACCCTCCTTACCCCCCCACAGAGGCCTGGGGCTGCTACCTACATGGGAGGGAGGAAGAGAGGTTTGGGGTGCGGTGACAGGTGATATAGGGAAAGGGAGTCCGTGGAGGGGAAGAGGAGGAAGAGGAGGAGGAGGAAGGCCCACTGTCCGATGCCTTTATGAAAGGGCAGTACGGACGACCTGCCAAGAGAGACAGACAGAGAAAGAGACAGAGGACAAGAGAGGGTCAGTCTCCCCCACCCCACACCCTGAGGCCTCACCCACCCCTAGGGCTAGCCCTGGATGTCCAAGCTGCTTTCAGCCAGGGTGCATAGTCAGCCAAGCTGGGCCACAGCCTCAAGCCATCCGATGCCTCCCACCAGCACCAGACACAATACACGGCCACAAGCCTGCCACACACAGCCACCTTCTTTGAGCAGCAGCATGACTGAGGACAACCTGCTCCGCCCCAACAACTCCAAACAGGGCCAAGCACACAGCAGGTGTAAACACTCAGACCAGCAGACAACGATGGAAGGGAGCTTTGGGGAGTGGTAAAAGCTGCACAAGAAGCCAAATAGAAACTGGATGCTCAAACTCAGGGCCAGGGCAAGAGACCACCCAACATGCATCATGGCCCTGCAGGCCAGACCTAGTCCAACCAGCAGGCTGCTGCTGGCAGCAGAGGTATGTCAGTGTCCATGCCAGAGCTGCCCAACTGGCCTTCAGCACTACCCATCGTTTAGCCAAGGACCAACATCCACACCACCACCCAGCCCTCTGGGGTCCTGCCACATGGAAGCCACACATAGAAGCATGCTGGGTGAGGGTCTTGCCTTCTCCAAGGGATCTCTGGGCAAGGCTTCTCTTCCAAGAAAGAGTCCCAAAGGGGCTCAGGGCCATAACCTGAGGAGTGGGGGTTGTATGGGGATGGAGCCGAGGACTACCTGATCGGTGGTTGAAGGGTGAGGGCACATCACAGCTGCCCGCAGAGGCTGATGCGACTCGTTCCTGCTGCTTAAAGAACTCCCGTGGGTTGTCAGGCCGCTGGGCAATAATGGCAGCTGCCTCCTGAGAGCACAGGCCAGGGTTAGGGGTGGGGTGGACTGCACAGCCCTTACGTGTCTCACCTGCCACCTACCCCAGCTCTCACCTCTACCTCTGATTCTGACTTCTTCATCTGGGTCTCTTCCTCCTCTTCCTGTTGATCACCCTGGAAACAAAGAGAGACTGTGTTGTAGGCATAGGCACTTGACCTTTTTATAACCTCATCATCTCTCCCACAATCCAGCAGAAAGGTCTCAGAGGCGGCACCTCTGCTCCCCTCACCATCCAGCCACACAGCCTCCTCTCCGCCCTGTCTTTGCCCACTTCATATCCAGGCTGGCCAGGCCTGGGTACCTGGCTCACTAGTTCATCAAACAGCCACCCAGGGCCATTGTTTTGTAGCTCATTTTTCTCAGACCTCCTATCCCTATCCTGATACTTGGGTCACCATGCCACCATTATTACCACCTGGATGTTGGCATCACAGCCAAGCTCTCATCATTAGTTCCCTGCCCCCCTGTTCAACTTCCTCTCATTTGTTTTCTATAGGTCCTGAAAGAACTTTTCCAAAAATCCAGACCAGACCACAATTTTCCCTAGTTAAAAATCCCCTGGGGGCTCCCATAAGACTTAGGAAGCACTAAGCTGAATATGACCACAGAAGGCTTCTCCCCAACACACTGGTATGGTTCTATAATACTTTAATTAGTTGCCATCACTTAAAAAGCAGGAAATTCTTGTACTGAACTGAGGATCTTAGTTTCTCTTAAAATGCCATAACTGTTGTAATAACAACCCACATACCCCCCAAAGCTGGCATTACAACAGCTGCCCTTACACCAGAACTGTGCTTCTAGTTCACCAGTCCTTACTACTCCCTACTGTCCCTCACCTCCTCATTTCCATCGTGATGTTTTGAGACAAAAGCCAGAAGTACAGGTAAGTAGGGCCCCTTGCTTAACTCATATTCCCCTCCCCATCCTGATACTAGCCCTCATCTGCTCTCCAATACCACCCCCTACCCTCACCCAAACTCGCACACATACTCTGAGGTGCTGACACACAGTTCTCAGCATAACATACAGGGCCTGGAACGTGTTTACCATTTCCTAGCTCTGCGATTTGGCAGAGGAAATCAGCCATCTCTCCCACATGCCTGATCCCCACCCCAAGTCCAGCCTCAGCTTGGGCACCGCTTTCTGGGGAAGAGGTCCCTGGACCATTCAGGTCATTTCCTTCTCTGGGTTCCCACAAGGTGTTCCCAGCATCTACCACAGATTACAGTGTATCATAATTTCTGTTTCTGGGATGCTTCCTCCATCCCCTGTGAGCTCTACAGAATGAGGAAGGACCCAGGTCTGTAAGTGGCCAGCACAAAGTTGGCACACGTGTGCTCAACTGAACTCATGACACCACAAGCCTTTTTATTTAGTGTCCCAATTGTTCATGGGGCAAGTCAAGTTGGAAGGTTTAGGGGAAGGGCTACAGGTAAGAAATGAGGCTTGTTTTTGAGCATATACCTTAAAATCTGAACACATCTAATGTAATCTCACAGGTTCCTCTGTCTCACACATATACACAAAAAGGACCAAAGGTAGTTTTACCACAAAGATTTTATGAACAATGTGAACAATACTGAAACAAGACAGAGCTGAGGATAGGAGAGAAATCAATACATTAACCCTAAGTGTAAAGAGCACAGCTATGCTAAGCCTACACATTTTCAGATACATGGGAACCCCCTAGTAGCCTAGTCAAAAATGGGAATTAAGATAAGGAACATGATTCTTACCAAAGGGAAGAAAAAGCAGAACAGCTCCTAAGCCAAGAGAAAAATTTTGTGGTGCTAAATTTCAATTTCTCACTGGGTGTGGAGGCACATGCCTATAATCCCAGCACTCAGGAGGCTGAAGCAGGAGAATTGCCATGAGTTCAAGGCCACCCTAGGCCACATAGTGAGTCCAAGGCCAGTTTTTCATATAGGACATTCCTTAGAGGACTTGAAGTCAAAAAATTGACTTGCTACAATGTTTGCTGTCACTATCACGAGTTAACTTGAAGAGTTAGGGTTAGATGCACAACAAAACAGCTGTATGACAATGGGCAGAGTGGTATACACCTATAATTCCAGCTACTCAGTAAATGAAACAGAAGGATTACAAATTCAAGGCCAACCTGGGCAACTCAGCCAGTGCCTTTGTCTCCAAATAAACTAAAAAGGCCTGGGAATATAGCTCAGTGGTAGAGCACTTGCCTGGATTCAAGCCCCAGTAAAATAAATAAATAAATAAATAAATAAAACAATGCTGTGTGATCCTTCAGATTTTCCAAAAAATGTTAGTAACTGGCAAAGATGAGTGATAGGCTCAGGGAAATTCATATCCAGTAATGGCAAATCTTTTAAAGCTTTCAGTGATACAAACGGCCCACTGAGGGGCCGGGGATTTAGCTGGGCAGTTTGGTGGCCTGCCTTGCAAGTGCAAAGACTCGAGTTCAATCCCCGGTACCAAAAAAAAACCAACAACAAACAAACAAAAAAAAAAAACAAACAGCCCACTGAGGCATGAGTGCCATAGGTTCGCCACCATTGCCCTATACTTCTGTTTACTTTTGTATGTGTATATGTGCACACACATGTTTGAAATTTTATATAAAAATCAGCTTTTTAAAAGTTGTTCGCTACAAATAGATAAACAAAATGTATTATTCGCCTGCAAAAAAGGAAGGAGGGCCAGAGATTTAGCTCAGTGACACCGCGCCTGCCTTGTAAGCACAAGGTCCCTCGTACAATCCCCAGTACCAAAAAAAAAAAAAAAAAAAAAAAAAAAGGGAAGGAAATTCTGACATGCCACAACGTGAATGAGCCTTGCAGATATTATATGGCGTGAAATAAGCCAGTCATAAAAAGACAAATACTGGGGCTGGGGATTTAGCTCAGTGGTTCCGCCACCTGCCTCGAAAGTGTAAGCTCCCAAGTTCAATCCCTGGTACCAAAAACAAAAAGACAAATACTATATGAACTCACTTATATGAGGTAAAGCTGTCTATTTTAGAGACAGTCAAATGATACTTGCTAAGGGGAATGTTTAAAGGGAAAAGACCCAGCTATGGATGATGCCAATGTTTGTGTACAACAATGTGAATGTACTTAATGCCACTGAACTGTACACTTAAAAATAATTGAAATGATACATTTTATATCTATTTACCCATAATTAAAAACAAACAAATTCATTTATACAAAAGACCTATCTTGTTATATTTCTAACACCTGACACATGGCAACAGTCTGTTGAAGAAATGAGGCTGGAATTCACCAACTACACCCCATCTTCCCCTACCCAGGATGGGTAAGACTGGCATGATTACAACAGCTGCTCAATGATGGCACCTGCAGGACTGTTCTGACCTCTGGCCACAGCCTATTAACAGTACAATCTGAAGCTCAATCAAGCTTCAGTCAAGCCCAAGTCTGCCCATCAGAGTTCCAATCTCATGATTATCACCCCCCAGCCCTTGATGAACTACACCTTGCTCAGTCCGGAATGGTAATGTTTACAAAAATATTGAATTTAATTCAAGGGATAGGAGTGTAGTCTAGTGGTAGGGTATGTGTAAGACAGAGGGTTTAAATTCCAGCCCCACTCCTCAAGAAAAAAATCAAAGCATCAAGATTTCACACCGCTGTGATTTTCAGGGGCCAAGCCACAGACCCACGGAACATTCCAAATGTTCAGAGATTTGGACAGACCCTGTGGCCTGGCACGAAAGGACTACTGCAAAGGAGAGACGCTGTACACTTGGGTACAGATGCCCAAAGCACCGGCCCAGATTCAGTCAGGTGGCTGTGTAGTACTATTGTGGGGCCCAGGCTTTGGGCTCCCGAAGTGCAACAACTTTGTCTAATCCACCTCCACACCCAGCTTTACTGGGGAAGGGTTGGGTTGAGTCAGGTCAACAAGGATCTAGGTCAAGGTGGATATTCTCTTCCAATCTAAAGAACAAGCTTCACCAAGGAAGTCTTTTTCCATGGCCAGGGCCCAGAGCCCTTGTGATGAGGGTGCCAGGCCTGACATTCCACAACATTCATGCTCATTCGCAGAATCCCCAACACTGTCTTGGACCCACAAAGAACTTACAAAGATAGATTGTTCCTTCAACCGCCTCTTGGCCTCTTCTGCCTCTAGAGTTTGCTGTTTTCTCCTGGGAAGATAAGCAAGCACCCCATTCAGAGTGTGGATGGGGTGTAGGAGGTGGTGGGGGCAGTCTGCCTGCTGGGCCAGGTGAACTCACCTGTGCTCCTCAATCTGCTGCTCTCGCTCTCGATAGCGCCGCTCACGTTCCTCCTGCTCCTGCCGTTCCTGCTCCATTCTTTCTTGCTCAAATCTGAGCCTAGCATCTAGGGCCTTTTTCCGCTCCTCCTCCTTCCGAAGCTCTTCTTCCTTCTGCAACCCCAAGCAGAGGAGGCACAGGACCTGAGCCTGGGAAATGACCTCTGCCCTCCCATCCTATCCCTCACCCAGTGGTGGGGAGGTGGGCATTCTGAAAATTCAGGGGATGAGTTCCATGCACAGAAAGTCAACAAGGCTCACTCTTTCAGGTGGGGGAGTAAGGGGATGAGACACATCACTGAAGCAAGGGATTCAGAGCTACTCTACTGGGTTAAGAAAGGACAGCTTAGCATGAAGTAAGTCCAGGGTCAAGGTAGCACACCTTGGCCTGTTCCCAGAACTGCTCACGGTTAATCCGCTTCATTTCCACGGCTGCATCAGTCTTCTGGTAAGTGGTGCCCTGCAGGGTCAAACAGCATGGCATGAGCATAGAGGGCAGGCTGAATGTTCCAGGGTACCCAGGCACAAAGAGTGCACAAAGATTGAGAGCTAAGGGGATTGGAGAGATAAGACTCCAGGGCTGGGCCATGCGGGTGGAGCCCTGGCACACACTGACCACAGGCTCAGCGTTCTCATCCTCCCGCAGCCGCAGTCGGTGCAGCACAGGGCTGGAGAGGCGTGCCAGCCCATTGGAGAGCCTCTGACCAATGGCTCCCGCGTCAATGTCTTCCACACTGCTGGCATTCACAATTACGTCGACACCCTTCCACAAGAAGGCAAGGTTTGGGTGACATTCATATTCCCTCCCATCACCATCCTAGCACACAGACCCTCACCAGGGTGGCTGTCCCTACCCCCATGAGCCCAGACTATGCACACACCTGAAAGAACTCAGCCACCTTAGCCACATGGCTGGCACAAGCGCACTTTCGAGCATCAGGGACATCTTCACCCACCTGCAAAGTACCCAGTGAACAGAGATCAGGAAAGGACCAGAATCAGGCAACAGTCTGAGGGCCTAGGCTATCTTCCCAAGGATTAGTAAAGTTTTCCCCAGCAGTACCGGTGGCTGGAGAGACTGCCCTAGCTAGGGCCCATCAACTCCCTGCCCCAGACCACTGCTGCATACCCAGTTGATGAGCACGTATTTTGGCAGAGCAGCCTGGGAGTCTTTGACGCTGCAGAAGCCGTACATCACCTTCTGGTTCTCGAAGTGGCCGGAGAGCTCCTGTAAGCCCCCTTCTGGGGGAATCAGGAGGATGTCAGGACTCTCCATCTCCTAAACCCTCACCCCAAGGCCTGAAACCCGAAGGAAAGATACTTTGTGGGCTCTGCAGATATCCCCAGGGAGGCTCCCTGGGGAAGCTCTGAGATCTGGAGGTCCCAGAGTTTTGTGCTGATGCAGTGGCAGGGGGAATGCACAGTATCTAGCTTTGCATATGAATTCTCCGGGGCCTGATTCAGGATAGGACTGAAGAGGTAGGTGTCTGTTCTTCACACATCCTCATTTCTCATTCTTCACACATCTCATGTCTCACCAGGTGCTAGAGCCCGGTGAGGCAAAATAAAGCCTTCCTTAATAGTCTGCTAGCTCCAGAGAAAGTAAGACTGATCTGGAGCATCATTACTAGGCCCCTTCCTTCCTGACTGTGGACTCTGGGCAGGATAACCTTCCCTCTCTGAGCCTTCTCAGAAGTAAAACAGGAAACAAGGCTCCCTCCCTTCCCACTCTGAGGATTGCAGGGATGACAAGAGGGACAACCGCCAGACAAGTGTGGGTCTGCTGGATGCAGGAGGGAAGGTGGCTGGGAGCCAGGCGGGTGGGGAAGAAAACAACCGGAGGAGGGGGCGGAAAGGAAGACAAAGAATGGCTGGAATTCTTACCTCCTGATGCTGCAAGCTTGAGGTCATCTGAGCCATCCTCGTATGTGTATAGAGCCCTGGGGAGAGGGAGGGGTGGCTCACAGAACTGTCCAGGCCCAGGCTGCTAGTTCTGGGTGGGGATAGCACTGGGGAGAGGGCTGCCAGAGGGGCAGGACAGGAGGTAGGGTGGGGAAGAGCTTCTGTTGCTGGCCATGACAACAGGATCATTAACATTTTCAGTTGGAGCCCAACAGGGTGCATTCTGGGAGCTCCAGAGGTCTGGATCAAATGGAAAGCAGGAAATGAGGGGCAGAAATTACTGCCTAGTGGAGCTGTCTGCTCAGCTAGCCCTGGCCTGGCAGCCCACAACCCAGTGGTGCAGCGCTCCGTGAGATGGAGATTCCAAGGCAACGGTTCCTTGGTTACCGTTCCCTGGCTACCACGATACTCATCCCCCATTGGCCAGCACCAGGAATCTACCTGGCGCGTGCCTTGGTACCCACTGTCCCTCCCCCTACAAGGAGGGAAGAGGGAGGAGAGAACCTGGGGTACTCTCACAGTGCTGGGCATCCCCTAGTAACCATGACAACCCAGCAATTGGCACAGGAACCAGCCCACCAGAGCTGCATTCTCCTTGAACACAAAGGACCCTGGGGACCCTCCCTCAGACTCAATCTCCGCCTCTCAGAAATGGGGATGAGGTCATTGTGGTCACTCCCTCCCAGACTAGCCTCCAGTGGCTCTGCTCTCCTGGCCTTCCAGCCCCTAGGCTGCCTCAGCCCTAGATGAGCCTCAGGGGACTGCTGGCTTTTTCTGCTGCCAGAAAGCTGAGCCAGCAGCCTTCCTCCTTCCTCCTCCTCCCTACCTTTATTCTGCCCTGACTTTCTCCCTAGACAGCAGTGGCATAGCATCCATTTCACAGAACCGAAAGATGTAAAGATGCCTCTCATCTCAATGCAGGCACAGGTTGTGGACCCACTGAGAGAAGAAGCCTGGGCCAAAAAGACAAGCCTTGCTCCCGAGGTTTAGGGGGGCTCAGACCCTTCCCCAATTTCCATTTCCCTACTGCCAAGACAGGATGCTAGGGCTGACAGGAGCACAAAAGGAGATGGAAAAGAGAAAGGGAGAGGAAGAAGCAAAATGAGACAGAAAGGAGGAAGAGAAAGACATGAAGGGATGAGGAGGAAATGAAGGAGGGCGGAGGGGGAGGGAAGAGGGAGTAGAGGGGAGAAGTAAAAGGGGAAGGGAGAGGAGGAGGAGGAGAGAAGGGAGGAGGTGAGGAAGGAGGAAGGGTATGGGCTAGCCAAGAGGTTGGCACAAACTGTTGCTAGGGCCAAATGGCCCCCAACCCCCTCCCTCTCTCCTTTCAGAAAGGGGCACAGGTGGGCTGTGGAGCTGGGAGGCCCTAGTCCAACTGTTGCCCCAGTCACTGCCCTGACAGCTGCTTCCCAGCACAGCTGTCCCACCACCTGTCCTGTTGCCCTAACCCACTGCTGGGAACAAAGGCCTCAGAGAAGCAGGATTACTCCTCTGCACTCACAGATGAGAAACTGAGGCACAGCCTATGGTTCCTGGTTTCCAGATATTGCTATAGGTACCAGGCCTCCCTGGGATAGCCTACTTGTCTCAGCTTCATCCAGGCTCTCTGAAGCCCCTCCATTCTGCCTACCCTCCTTCCACTGGCCACCTTTCCCTACTATGGCTATAGCTCTTCCCCAACACAAACCATCCCTAAATTCAAACCTTTCTGCTAGCCTTCATCCCTCAGTGCTGCCCGGCTTGCCTTTCCATCCTGACCTCGCTCTACTTTCATACCATGCACCTGGGCCACAGTACCCAGCTCTGTGATCACAAACAGGCCTTTGCAAATGTAGTTCTCTACACAAGAAAGGCCAGGGGCTCTCATCAGGAGCTGAGGCCTCTTGTTCAGTGGCACCACGGATGCTCTTCAAGTGCAAGGTCCTGAGTTCAATCCGTGGTAGAGGAAAAAAAAAAGGCCATACCTTCAGGATACCACTGCTGGTTCCCCAGGCAGACTCACCCTGAGCTGCAAGTCCCCAGAGCACCTGCCACCCGCATTTGGACCTTCCCTGGCCTTTGCCCCTCTAACACATCAGAGTACCCTGGGCCTGGGCAGGTGGGAGCTGAGGGATCCACAGGGAACCAGGATAGGAAGATGGATCTGTCCCCCTCCCACTGAGTCTCCACATCTAACCAGCTTCAGTCCCTGGAGGCAAGACGGTGCCCCAGATGGTAAGCTCTGTGAAGGCACAAGCTACAACTCAGCTAAGACACTGTATTCTCTGGGTCCTGCGTCTAGCACAGAGCAGCACCACAGGTATTCCTGATACTGACACAAACTCTCAGAAACCATCTAGTCCAGACAAACTGGAGTAGGATGAGGTAGCAGCTGGACTGTGGCAGCTCCAGGGAGATCCTTGGGTCAGCTCTGGGTGGGAGGCTGAGGATCCCTCAGGGCCATCACACAAGACAAACTCTGGAGATCATAGACATGACTACGCCCAATCCCCTCTTGTTCTCAAGAGTACCAGAAAGGAGCAGGAACTTGCTTATTTGTGCAGTCACAAGCAGAACACTGTTGCCCTTTCTCACTACACAACCTGACTTCCTGCATGGTCCATTTCAGAGACCTTGCTACCTAGGTGTGAGATATCCTCAATTCCATCCTACCTCTATTGAAAGGCAAGGTAAAGGGAGGATGGCATCAAATCCCCTTTGTCCAGGCAGCAATTTTACCAAAGACATCCCTCCTGCCTCTAAAGTGCAGACTATGTTCAAGTCTTGGGATCCCCCAGAAACCCTGGCTCTGTACTGGGTCCTGAGGACACTCACATCACCCTTCTGCAGGATGTAAGCCCTGTACCCTTTTTACAAAATGCTATCTGGGCCCTTGGGGATGAACAAATGTGTATATGTGCAAGGGTGCATGTGTGCATCTGTTTGTGTGTCCCACACACAACCCAGATGGGGACTGACGCATGCTAGAGATGAATAACTCCCTTTGGCCACATGGATACTGCTGGGTGGTGGGAGCCCAGGCCTCTGCTAAACAGGATGTGGGGCAGCAGTGACTGGGTGGCCCCAGCATTGGACTGCCAGAGCTCTGCTTTTAGGGGGTTAGGGGAAAAGGGGCAGACTCCCCCCAAAATACTCGAGGGCAAGAGAGGTATTCTAGAGTGGGTTTTGCCTTTCCCCAAACAGTGCTTTATCCCAAGGCTAGCTCCTCCACCGGGCCAAACAGGCCACTTGCCCAGAACTCTGTGCATGATCTCAATCCCCCAGGGGCAGGGCTGGGACAATGGGTGGGCGGCCTGCCTGCCTGCCTGCCTGCCGGCCGGCCAGCAACCCCACACTGGGCCTGTGTTGGCCTGTGCTGGCCTCTCCTGTGACTGACCTGCAGGACTTGAGAGCTTGCCTCTTGAGTCCATCCCTCCAGGCCTGGCTACCTGCCAGTGCTGCAGTATGGTGGCATGGATGCCTGGCTATCTTGTCCCCTCCTCCAGCCCCCAGGTCAGCATCCCTAACTAGCTACACACCCAAGTTGAGGGTGAGGCCAGATCAACTGGGGTCCTTCAGACCTGCCCTTAACTCTTCCCTCAGTGTCCTCCACAAGAGCTCGCTTCCTGCCGGGGGTGTGTGTGCGTGGGGCCAAGAATGGGCACCTGCCCTGGAGAATATTTGGGAGGGATGATGAGTCCAGAATGGGGCAGTGTGGGCCAGTTTGGTTTCTCTACCACCCTGGGGGCTCCAGCCCCAGAGCAGTGATGCATCCCCTCTCCCCAGCTCAGGAGGAGGAGACAGAGGGGTAGGGGGCAGCCCAGCGCCTCTCTCATCAGGAGCTGAGGCCTCTTGCTCCTGGGTGAAGGGGTTGTGACCCGGTGGATCTACTCATCTTCTCATCCCTCTTTGAGGGTTCCCTCCACAGTTCTTCTCAGCAGGCCCCCTAGTCAAGGAGCTGGGTCCACTTGCCCGCTCCGGCCTCAATCCCAGTTGACTTAGTCCCTGCAATCCCTTTCAAGTACTGGCGAGGAGGGCTCATCCCTTGCCTCCTACTCTTCTGAGACCCGTGAGGGGTAGTCACTTCTCAGTTCCCATGTGGTAGTGAACCTCCTTCATCATATCCCAACCCAGTGTGGTGGGGGACAGCCAAGTACAAGAAGCCCCTGGTGGGCGGGGCGCCCTGGCCCCAGTCTGCTCCGCTCCTCCCCCGCCCTAGCTTTCCTTTGTGCTTTGGCCGGGCCGGGCTGGGCAAGGCAGGCTGCACTGGCTCCGCTACCTCGGTCCCCGCCCCGTCCCCGCCCGGTCCTCTACCGCTAAAAGGTGGCGAAGGTGCCCTTGGCCGGCCCGTGCACACCTGACCCTCGAGCCGTGCAGGGGGGCAGGGAGAGGAGGGGGATGGGCTCCTGAAGGGCCACGCGGCCCGGGGTCACCCATTTGGACTCCGTTTCGGACCGGCCTGCATCCGGCCACCTCTCCCACCGCAGTCTGGGGCCGCCTTGGGGTGATCAGGCCGGCACCCCCTAGAGACTTGGCCCAGGGCCCTCTCGGTCAAGCTCACGACTTCCGCCGGGTCTACCTGACTGTTTTCTTCTGCGCCATAGATCCCGTCGGAGACGGTCTCTTCAAGGAAGGGAAAAGCCCGAGCTGGGGGCCACTGAGCCCCGCGG